CTACCCGCACTCCTCGCTGGTCTATAGCAATGAGGTGTGAGTAACTATTTATACCCTTCAGTGAAGGGTGAACATATGTATAATATTGGTTAGATTCTGAAAATGCTGATGTTTTATTTATATCTTTATCTATATATGTATTATAAGCTTCATGCATGATACAATGATGTACATAGTTTTCTTGCTATGCCTGGAATTATGTCATCAGTGCATCATCAACCTGTTGGTAAAACAACCACGACATTCCTATCGGTATGGTTAGTCCTCCACCGGAATGCTGAGGAAATTTAACTGTTGCATGGTACTAAACCTAAATAATCCTCGTGAATGGCTTGTCCTTCTGGATTATTAGGATTGTTTATATATAATAATACTACCAGATGAATATCTACGGTGTTCCTATCGGTATGGCTAGTCCTCCACCGGAACGCTAAAGATGTTCTACTGTAGCATGCTATAACTATCAGATTAATGACTTAAGTGATCCTCATGAATGGCTTGTCCTTCTGTATTGCTAAGAGCGTTTAACTGGTATAAATGATAATATTCCCAGTTGAACAACCACGACATTTCTATCGGTATGGTTTATCCTCCACCGGAACGCTGAAGATGTTTAACTGGCATATATGTATCACATATAAAGTCAATTGAGTAATTCAAGTATTCCTCATGAATGACTTGTCCTTCTAGTTTGCTTGGATTAATCACTTGATACATCTATAACCAGCTAACTTAAGAAGTTGTCGTGTTAAGACTTAATACCACCAGTTAACCTAAGAAGTGGCTATGTTATGATTTATTATATATGCACCTACTATTATAGAATCAATTGAGTAATTCAAGCATTTCTCATGAATGGCTTGTCCTTCTGGTTTGCTTTGATTAATCAATTGACATGAATACCACCAACTAACCTAAGAAATTGTTGTGTGATGGTCTATATACATCAGACCTACCGGTTTAACATGGGAGTTAATTGTTGTAAGGTAGCATTTCCATTACTTAACCAATATAAATCATATGGAATCCCTAAATTGAAGGGTATCCTTTATATTCTTGTCATTAATACGCTTACCTGCATACTTTATTTAATTAAACTAGTTGTTAATCTAAGCTCACATCACAAGCTATCAAATGATACACTACTTCAAACAACAACTTTACTGTTTTTTTTTGAAATTTAAATTACTAAGACTTTTCGTGGGATCGATTCTTGGACTTAAATCGAGAAAACTACAATTCGACTCCTTATACTTGGGTGTATAATATAATATAAGTAAGATCACGAAATAGTGCGAATCAAGTTTTTGGCGCCATTGTCGGGGTGTTGCGGTAATTAAAAAATAATAATAATAATATTTGTTTAGTTGTATTGTATACTTTGTTTGTGTGTTTTTTATAGTCTATATCTATTCATTCATCAGTAGGTTCTGTAAATTAGTCATCACCCTCATCTTCTTCATCTTCATGTACACAAGAATCCTTTGAACTAAGTATGGCTAGAAACGTACGTAGGGAAGAACAACCTAGAGAGCAAGAGATAGTTCAAAATGACCGACCATTAAGAGAATATCTACATCCTACAAGAACTAATGTTCCATCATATTTTCCTTTTCCAACAGATGCTCCAAATATTAATATTAAACCAGGAACAATACAATTAATACCACAGTTTCATGGTTTAGAAACTGAAAATCCCTATGTTCATATGAAAGAATTCGAAGAAGTCTATGGAACTTTGCAAGATAATTGTGAAATGATCAGATTAATACTTTTTCCTTTTTCTTTGAAAGATAAAGCTAAACTATGCCTTAACTCTTTAAGAGCAAATTCGATCACAAACTGTCTAGCTTTACAAGCTGAGTTCTTTAAAAAAAATTTTGCTGTCCTTTGTACTAATACATTAAGATGTCAAATAATAAAATTTTCTATAAAGAAGATGAAACTTTTTATCAATGTTGGGAAAGATTTAAATATCTCCTCCAAGCTTGTCCACATCATGTATTTGAAAACTAGACCGTAGTTGGTTTTTTTTTTGATGCTCTCCCACCTGCAATGCTACAATTTGTTGAAATGAAGGTGCAAGGAGAGTTTATGAATAAAAACCCTGAAGAAGCATTTCAATTTTTTGATACTATTTCAGAAAGTTCCCAGATGTGGGACTCAACTTCTTCAACTATTGTGGAAATTAAGTCATCTACATCTGAAAGAGGAAAATATATTTTGAAAGATGATGATGATTTAAGAGCTAAAATGACTAATTTATCTGGAAAATTAGAAGCCTTAGAAATGAAAAAAATTAAGCAAGTATCTATGGTATCAACTACTGATCAAGTATGTGAAATTTGTGCATTGTTAGGACATCTTGCTGGGGAATGTCCAACTATACTTGCATTCAAAGAAGTGTTAATTGAACAATCTAATGCTGTTCCAACTTATAATAATAAGCATTATATGAATTCATACTCTGAAACATACAATCCAGGATGGAGAAATCATCCGAATTTTAGTTGGAGAAATACACAACCCGCAAATCAAACACAAGGTCCACCACAACCACAAAAAAACAACAATATTAGCCATATCAAACAATCTTAGCCATATCAACCTCCTCAGAAAAGAACTCTAGAAGATACTATGAATCAATTTATTCAGAGTCAAATGAGTTTCAATACTCAAATAACTCAAGCATTTAATGATTTTAAAGATCAAATTCATAGAATATTGGGGATGGGGGAGGAAAGTTGAGCAACCCACCCACGCCTTAGTCTCCAACCTTCCCATGCTATTTGGCTGGTTGGCCAGGGTTCACATGTCACACCCAAAGGACATCGGGATCGCATCCTACGACACGGGTGGCACGATCTATATGGGTACCTAAGCTCCAACGGTTACAGTTGCAAAATAATTTCTCTGCGTACAATGTAATTACATTTACAGACATCTAACCCTCTATTCTAAACACAATGGCATGAGACTTCTGCGTTGGGCCACTCTTGTTTTTGGTGATATTTATTCTCAACCATTAGTAACTATTGTTTGGATTCCGTTACCTTTGAAATTTTTTTTAAACAAATTTAGTCATACTTCTTCTAATTTATCGTATCTTTAAAGATATTCCTTCTACACTCATTGTTTTGTACATTAAAGAAAGTATCGTATTGTACAATCATTTTTGTGCACGTATCAAATTGACACAAAGATTCAGATAGTGGTGGTCATGTTCTCACCGATAAGGAAACTAACTAAATAAGAATGCATAGGAAAACAACAATATCCCTAAATATTCCAACAATTGATGGATTGATATGTGAGTAGCACCCCCATTTTGAAGCAAGATTGGCTCCATAATGGGTCATTGTACCAAATCGTCACCCACTTGCTAACCATGCCTAACTTGTATGTACTCTTTGTCATTGATTTGTATTTTCTTCAAAGTTTTGACTTTTATTTGTGGGCTTCTCTTAATGGATGATTGGTGTTTTTCAACTTTTATTGCGTTCCCTTTTGGATGTTTTAGCTTGTTTAGTGGGCATGAAAAGGGTGAGTGGTGGAACCAACAGTCCCTTGGTCCCCCCCGTAGGACAATGAAATTCAAGTGACCTTTCTCTTTTGGTCCCATTGCTTGATGATCAATCCTTAATCAACAATGGCACTACTATTTTCTATTTAGAAAACTATCATCATGGTTGGACCGGAATGAATCAATTTCATTCAACAATTACTTTCTTTCCTTTTGTAAATGAGGTTTATGTCAAATTTACTGAACATCTCCAATCATAGAAATCAGTTAAATTTGAGAGACTACAATTAATGGTAATTATATGTCAAATTGACTGATCCTTTTGACAATATTGCCTACCGTAGTCCTCGTGTTGCGTGTGTTAACGCATTTAACCCAAAAAAAAAAAAAGCGGAAAAAAAAAAATGTTTCTCAAAACTTTCCACAAGGGTGAAAATGGGAAGGACAATCATTACCAAGGACATGAACATCTCCTCTAGTCAAAAAAATCAGATAATCAAAATGGTGCATAGATCAATACATAAGGTACATGCACCAAAAATATACATGCATGTGCATGGGAAGACATGCCACATGCCAAGTAGCCTGTAATTAGGTTTTGGCTCCTCCCAAAAAAAAGAAAAAACCAAAATAATATTTTATATTTAGAGCGTCATGTATTATGTCTAAATTCTTTATAATACTTTATTTCTCTTTCATTATTTTCTTTTATTCACTCTCTTCCTCTCTTTTACTATTGAAAAAATAATAATATAAAAAATAAAAAATAATATTTAAAAAAATAGTTAAAAATACAAAAAATTTATTAGTGTGTATTGAAATTTAAAATAAAAAATATTATTTTTTAAATAGTTAAACTAATTTTTATTGTTGGGTTTGTTCTTACCGACCAAAAGACATTAACATTGTACTTTATAATTATTTTATTAACAGTTCATAATATGTTCGAGTTTAAATTGTACCTTGTCAATATTTATTTGGTTTTTATATTCTCTAATACACTATACGAGGTTTATGTCCTATATAATCGTGTATGTCTTATTAACGTTACTATGATCCAATAAATATTGAATAAAAAAAAACAGAGAATTATATGCTAATTAATACAAACATTAATAATGCATGCTAATACAAAACAACTGCTCCTTTTTCTGTCATTCCCACCATACACGGCACTGTCTCTCTCTCTCTCTCTCTCTCTCTACCCCCTCTTTGCTAGTCCTTCTGTTCAAACCTCGACTTCTATACACTGCATTCACAGGAACTACACGCCTATATATACACACACATTCTCGCCTTTCTCCTTTTCTCTCTATATGTATCAAGTACATCTCTCTCTCTCTCTCTCTCTCTCTAAAACACACTCACTATTCTCCTTTCTCTCTCTCTATATATATCGCCTCATTCATCTGTAATTAAATCTCTCTCTCTCTCTCTCTCTCTCTCTATATATATATATATATCTGAGGAAGGAAACATGGGCTTCCCAGTTGGCTACACAGACTTCTTCCTCCCAAAACTGCTCGTCTACACACTCACCTTTCTGGGTTTCATCAGAAAACTCCTTTCCAACCTCTTTGCTACTTTTGGTCTCGGCGATTTCCTGGAACCCGAAGTTTCGTTCCAGACCGGACCCGAATGTTTATCGGAACTCCACTCTGTCTCTGCAGTTCTGATCCGGGAACTCTTACCCGTCGTCAAGTTCTCCGACCTAATCGAACCGCCGGAGAGCTGTGCGGTGTGCTTGTACGAATTCGATTCCGGTGATGAGATCCGACTGCTGACGAATTGCCGGCATATATTTCACCGGAGCTGCGTGGACCGTTGGATGGACCACGATCAGAAGACGTGTCCACTTTGTAGGACGCCGTTTATCCCCAAAGATATGCAACAGGCTTTCAACGAGAGGCTTTGGGCTGCTTTTGGGATCTCTGATTTCTACGGCGAGTACCCACCCATTACTGGTCTATAGTACATTTCTTTTTCCTGTCTTTTTTTTTCTTTTTTTTATTTTCTAAGTGGTAAATGGGCTTAGTTTTTTTATAAAAAATAATAATTTAGGAGGTGGGTAGTTTTTTTTTCTTTGAACTGGGTGGGGTGGGGGGGGGTGATATGTATAATGTAAATACTCCAAAAATTGGGAAAATAAAAAAAAATGAAACAGAAATAGAGTGAAAAGAACCCACATTTTTGTAGTAGTGTTTTTTTTTCTTTGGGTATGTTGTTGAATTTTAATATTTGGGTGTGCAGTGAGTTAATATAACTTTTTCATGAGTGGGCAGGTTCATGACAATTATTTTGTCAATCAATTTCATTATTTTCTCTTTTTTTTTTGTTTTTTTTATTTAATGATCAAGGTTATTCGAATTAGCTTATACGAATTAGGTATTCATGATAGATAAATTTTTTATAATTTAATCCCAAAATATTATCAAGATTCGAACTCATAATACATAGGTTTACAACTTATCGTGTGGGGTAATCTTTTTTTTTTTTTTATTTGAACTGGTCGTTGTGGTGTAGGGAAAACTGTGGTGGCGTTTAGTGGTGGAAATACTGTTTACTGATGGTTTGAAAGTTTAGGGGCATTTGGGGTTGAAATAATGGAGTTAGATGGTGAAATAATGAATCGGGTAGACAATGACTTAGGGATTTAGATCCAAAGTGCAATCTATTAGCTTTCAAATGGTCAATTACTGCCAAGTTTTTTTGTCTTTGATTATTTTGGCTTTTTATGGAAAAGAGGAATCCATCATTAGTTGGTAAATTATTTTATTGACCTACCAAAAGTGGAGTTTGTTAGTGGTAAATTTAACCCGATCTTTTCTTTTTCTTTTTTTTTTTTAAATGGTTATGTCTCTACTACATGATTAATCCTTTAGTACGAGAAGTTATTTATCATAATGCCATAATTTTTAAAATTTATTTTTGATTTACGGTATTTTTTAAATTAATTATTAAATTAGACAATTTTTACGAGTATAGTTAATAATCCCGTTTTTGTTTGAAAACGAGGTCAATAATCTAATTTTTAAATAAAAAATGTGGTCAGTAGTTGCAATGATCATAGATGAAAAGTGTGTTTACTACACACACCTTAAAAAATAGCGTGTTTAGGTGCATGATAATAGATGAAAAGCGTGTCTACTAAACACGTTTTTTGTTTTACTTTTACTTAAAAACGTGATCACCTATTGCCCACAAAATTTTCGTATTTATATGACGTTTTTTTTTATTTAAAAGCAGTTATGTTGAAGTCATTTTCTAACAAAAATGGGTATTAAATCTGTTTTTAAAATATACCGTAGTTTAATAAATAAGATCAAAAATATTGTAGATAAGTAATAAAGTTTAAAATTTGCCGCATCACCTACGGAAAGTGATCCCCCCCCCCCAAAAAAAAAAAACACCCAGTAATTATCCTGCTGGCGTTGAGGTTAAAACAGTGGTCTTCTGTCTCTCTTTTAAATCACTACAATCCCATTTTCTGGGGGTTTTAAGTATAAGAGTGTAACTACGTTATTGACAAATTTTTTTTGTATTTTAATTTTCAGTAATTAAAACATGAAATTTATAAATTTTTATTTTTTATTCTTTTGTTCTGTTTTATTATTCTAATAATTATAAGTTATAAACAATAAAATCTACAACTGACAATAACTTTCATGCATTATTTTTATCACTTAAAAAACAAAAACGTTTTAAAGGTATTTTCAAAATGTTTCGGATACAACATAAAAATAATACAAATTTTGAGAATTTACTTGCAAAAGATTTCGAAACATTGGTCGAAAACTATTGAAGTATCTCAAAGTACTAAAATTTTGATTCCTCTACTGTTTTGTTTTGATCCTCTTAAAAAACATAAATATTTCGGTATTTTTAACCGTTTCTAAATAAAATTTTGATAGAGAGAGAGAGAGAGCAATCCAGGTGTGAAAAAGTGTAGCTGGCCCCTGGTTCAAACTTAGGAGCATGCCGAAGTAATTATTTGAAGTTGTGTTGATGTTTTGCGGTTTGTACACGCCAAATGAATATGTAGAAAGTCATGCCAAACAAAGTAAAGATAAGTTCAAATGATTTGGCAATGTCGTGTGTGTATGTGTTTGTAACAAATACAAATCATTGTGATGATAAGTCCTGAGGACTGGTTTGGCTTTTGGTACTTGCTCTTTGATTCCTTGTCACTCTTCTAACCAAGTGAAATCATCCAATTATGTGATCTTTCTTGTTTGATTTTTTTTTTTGGGGGCAAAACTATAAAGAACTATACAAAAAAAAGGATAAAGTTAAAACTCGTAACCAACCGAAAAAAGAGAGTGAATTCTTTTCATTGAGTCACTTCTTGTTCTGTTCATCCAATAATATGAGACACTTATTTTAGATCTTATCATTATTTAGTATGTTACTTCGTGCGAATTTTCGTATTATAAATGCGATTAGTATACGTTCGCTGGAACATAATACAAGTTCGCTCGTGATGTCACATCGCGTACGAGTGTGTAATTAATCCGAACAATTCTGATCTTGTAATAGGTATCCATTTAAAAGAAAAGTATGAGTGAGAAAATTATTGCCAATATCCTACCTGGTTCTTCTAGATGGATAGCTACATTCTTATTTTTTGCGTATTTTTTAGACCATTACAATGCTAGGTAGCTCAAGTTCATCAAAGAGTGTTGAAAAAAGAGATCCAACTACAAGAGTTTGGTTTGAAATTAATGCACAAATCCAAGGCTAGGGAGACTTTCCAGAAGGTCTTCCAAGGTAGACATTGCTATAATGGTACTGATCATGTCAAATACAAGTAGGGTCCAAACTGTCATCGTCACTAGAGCTGACTACAGTTTTGAATAGTAGTTTCTGTATTATTTTCATCTTGACAGTGGAAGAACTACTCCTCCTAGATATACAACTTGAGGTACATGTGATTAATTCTTGCCGTCAACCGACTTAAAATGGTGTATATAACATAGAATGTCCTTAGTTATTAGGGTTAATTGTAAATTACATCTTGAAATATCGTTTAAATTTTAATTTGTATTCTCAAAGATCAAAAATTTTAATTTACACATTTAAAGATTAAAAATCTTAATTTGTATCTTCAAAAATAAAAATTTGTATTAATGTGTACCTGAAATTAACTGCAGCCAATTTATCGTCTAAAATTAAATGGATAAATTATACATAATTCTCTTATGTTAATACTTAATCATTTGGACCCCCTCATGTTTAGAATATTACTCTTGATGTTTGTGCACGTGTAATACATAACTGCATGTCGTTGATATCTATTAATATAACCATTAAAAAATATGATTTCATTCTAATAAAAAATTATAATTTCATAGTATCATTTATTTTTATGGGCTCGTTATACTCTAAAGTTCAAAATAAAATTTACCATTTGAATGTCGAATATAATGCAGATATTTATATAGTGTTCTTTATATCGAATACAATACATCACTTAAACAGAATTATTTGCATGTCCAATTTGAAAAACATTTTTAGTCATATTTAAATTTTTAAGGGATATAGATGTAATATTTCAAATGTGAGGGGTTTGAGTGATTAAGTAACAATTATGAGGGGATCTAGGTATAATTTATTCATTTAGTTTAGACGGCAAGCTAACTACTCTTTGCTTGAAGTGCAGATTAATATAAATTTTTATCTTTGAGGATACAAATTAAGATTTTTTATCTTTGATGGTACAAAATAAGATTTGAACAATCTTTTGGAGTGCAATTTGAGATTAACCCTAGTTACTAATAGAGCGAGTATAAAAAGAGTAGACTTAATAGTTTGCTAATAACAAATTAAAAGAGTAATACTACACAAAAAAGTTGCAACCCAAATATTTATTATCCCTTGGATATTGATGAGATCTACTCATCTAACACACATTCAAAAGATAATATGCATTTTAAGTTGTATTTTTTAAGTTTTATTTGAGTTGTATAGCATTTTTTAAATTAAAATAGGAGTAAAAATAAATATTTTTGAGGTGACCCAAAGTATTATTTGGACTTAATTTGAAGACTTAAATTGGGACTTAATTAATTGCAATTGACGAATAAAAAGTAAACTCACAACTAATTCAATAAATACATTAAATAAGGTTCTTGATTAGGTTCCTAAATCATGTCCGCATTGCTCTTTGTAATATAAAACAGCTTGATAACACTTTCAGGTTAATAAGTAGGGTTCTATTCATTGCTCTGATCCACAATACCATCAGATCGAGGCAAAAAGGGTTTAAGATGGACACCATTTGAAAAATGAGGAAGAAGGACAGACAGACAAGAAGCTAGTTGTATGTTCAAAACAATATCTGCCTGTGTTCTACAATGGGAAAGCTCAATACACATAATTCAATCACCACAAACATCCAGCAAGTACAATCTGAGTCGAGAAGTCCTTTCTCCGGTTTTTTTTTTGGGGAAGGGGAAAAGGGGTTTGAACCTTTGATCTCAAGAAGGCAAAGCCTTCGCAAGGTAAGGAGTACTATTAAACCAAAAGACCGTTGGTACACTGATTGGTAAATGGCTGATACGAAAGAAAATTTTCATGTGAATTTGCTTGCAAATGAACACGTTACACATTGGAATCACCTCTGATTGCCAGAAGGTGGATAGCCTGGCGGAGGATAACCGGCAGGTGGATAACCTTGAGCCTGAGGAGGAGGTGGATAACCATAGGGTTGCCCATATGCTGGTTGAGGATATCCAACTGTGGGTGGGTAAGGCTGATCAAGGCGTGACATCTGCTGGACTGGGGGCACTGCCATTACTTGCGGACCAAACATACCATCTCTTTTGTCCATTTCAACCTTGTGTTGTGTCTGCAGCATTCAAAAGCAATTGGCCAAGGAACAGTGTGAGCAGAAAGAATCATGCCATAAACGACATTGGTATATAGAGTTTTACACCAATGAAGCGTGGAAAAAAACTAACACCACAGAGGCTCGAATATTAAGGTAATCAATTTGTGCAATAATGTAAACTGCTAGGACTATATCCAGTCCACCACTCAAAGCACCCTCAATTTTTATTTATTTTTTCAAAGCTATCTCAATTAACAGGTGCCAAACTGGGTAATTATCCTTTTGTATAGAGTTCAACAATGAATAATGTCGCTCCTTGTACTTCGTAATTCATTTTTTTGACAAAAAAGCGATTATTATTTGGCTTCAGTTTTAGAAAGGTGTAAGCACATCATCCATTGAGGAAATTTCTGCACATAATAGGTTTAAATGGATTTTTCAAGTGAACAACATATAGCTCAACTTTGGAGTTTCAGATGTTTATCTCACATACCTGCATACATGCACAAACCCTGCAAAACAACATAGTACAATTATATTAGTCGGATACTGTCTAAATACTCCATCTGAGCATGCTCAGTGAAAAGTATCAAGTATGGAAAAGAAGTCATACGTGCAGTAAACCATATCAGCCAAACAAGACAGTAATTGAGAAGCCTCCTGAAGTTCCCCACTTCCAACAATCATTGCGACAATGGAAAATATGCATGCAATTTGTTGAAGGCAGAACATGAAACCCTGTATCAAGAAGGAACATGTTTAACCAAATGCAAATAAGTCGCAAACAACATAATTGATAGAGAGAGAGAGAGAGAGAGAGAGAGAGAGAGAGAGTACAATAATGCAATTATCACATTGTGTCGTCTGTATGTTGAACTCATCTTGCAACAGAAAGCGGGTTGACGCTACTGAATTTCCAAAGCACAAGAAAACCTGCATATTTGAATTTTGGGCAAGATTAAAAAAAAAAGGAATTTTGGATGAGAATAAAATCAATAACAGGCGTAAAGAGTAAATTGTCGTTTATGCTGCTGCAATATTATTAGTGAGTAACAACTTCTAAAATTATTGACAAAAAATACATACAAGAGATTCACCAGGTCCCACACTAACAAAGGATGCTTTATACTTAGATATGGATGTGAACCGACTTATAAACGAAGTTTTGAATGTGGTTTAGCTAACATGAGCAAGTTAAGGAGTGGGATAGGCTTTGATGGACAAAACCTGGAAGCATTTAAAAACATCCTCGTTCAGTAATAATGGTGGCCAAGGATTGATATTCTCCCATAACATCTTTCTTAGAAGCAAGAGAGGGACGCAAGCATCAAGTTGTATGAAATAATTTTTCAACATGAGCCCCCACTGAAAAAAGAAGGGAAACAACTACAAGATGCATGGTTGCTTCAAGCCTCCTACAATGATACAGAGTCATATCCTGCTAGAGTGCCCATGAATGAGAAGCAAGAAGTAGGACTAACGCCTTGTCAAGCATCATCTTCAATTCCAAAATGTGTAGGCATCACAAAAATCTTTATAAATTTTTTTCTTCTGCCTCTTGGCCATTCCAAATTTACAAGGATACTTGTGGTGATGGATAGTACTGTCTTCTGATGATAATTATAACAAACATAGTATAGTGATCAATCTAAGAGGGCAAATTTCCCCCAGAATAAACTAGATGACTAAATTTTGTAAAACATTGCTTCTAGAAAAGATGATATGATTCTTCGAAATGGATTCGCTAAAAAGGTAAATGCACATAATATCTCAAATTCTGCCAGCTCTGGAGGTAGATTGTTGGTACAAAAGGTTGTCCAGGATGTTTTAGAAAATTGAAAATCCAACTCCTCAAGCATCCAACAGATAATTTAATTCTGAAGAAAATTTTCAAAAGAAAAGAGAAGTTTGAGCACCAAAATTGGACAATAATACGACCCATAGTGCACCGTCTTGAACAACAAATCAAAATATCCAAACACTCTTTGTTAGCCTCCTTTCAATCATTTAAACATCATGGGGGCAAACGAGTAAAGAAGTAGGGTAAACATCAGTGACACCAATTGTAGATTACCCTAATTATAGGGACATCACCTTAGTTCTCCGTAGTAGCAAAGCACTTCCATTCCATATTGTTCACGTGTCCATTTCAAAAAAGTACTCCAACCATTATAGACGCTACTGACATACCTAAAAAGTGATGAAATCATGAAATTTTCATCTTCCAATTCCAGGTTCTCCCTCTAATACAAGATTCAGTCCAGCCTTTGCCTCTATTTCTCCCTTCTCTTCCTCCTCTTCTTCTCTCTATCTCTCACACTCAACACAAAAAACCGGAGATAATTAAAGCAGCATACACATAACTGCACCACCAAGACACAAATGCCTTGTGTGCAGCCCAAGTCACCACAACCATAGCCACCACAACATCTTTGCCATCACAAAAATCACCACATAAACAAGGCACCAAAAGCAACTAAGAGACCACTCCAATTGGCTGAAGACAAATACAACATGGGAATTGGAGAAAAAGAAGAATAACAAAGAATTGATTAAGAAGAAGAGCAAATTCCTCTCCATCCATATCTTGCATGCATTGTATTTGTTTCTCCATTGGTTGATGCACCAAGAGATCAGTCCAATTCCTTTGGGTCCCTGGAATCTATGAAATGGAAGAGGAACAAGAACCTTTGTGGATGAAATCGTTTGGGGTCTGTCCAATTGGAGGCGGAAGAGAGATGAGAGGAAGCAGTGGAGATATATAGGGTGTTGTGGATGAGAGAGAGAGAGAGAGGAGAAGACAGGATTTGAGGGTGGGTGGGTATGGCATGTGTGCATATGTGTGGTGGGTGGACTCATGGAGGTGGTGGTGATGGAAAGGTGGAGACAGATTTGCGTGTTTGTGTGGGTGGTCCAGCAAATACCAAAGAATTCAGTTTAATCCTTTTCTCTCTTTCTCCCTTCTCTCTCTCCCTCACTCGGGGACACAAAAATGCACACAAAGAATCATAGCAGCACACATACAATTGCAACACCAGAACACCCCTAATTGCACCACCAAAACACAAACGCCACTTTTGTGCAGCCCAAGGCAACACCACCATAGCTATCACAACATCAGTGCCACCCCAAAACCACCACATATACAACCCTAAAGGAAAAAGCAACCGAGAGACCATTCCAACTGATTGAAGAGGAAATAGATCACAAGAATTGGGAAGAGCAAATTCCTATCCCTCTGTATCTTTCATGCAGCTTACTCCTTCTCAGTTGATTGATGGGTCTCCAAAATTTATGGACTGGAAGAAGAACAAAGACTTTGTGGAAGTAATTTTTTTTTTTTTTAAATTTGTGGAAGTAATTGATTGGGGTCTCTGCAATTGGAGTGGGGTAGAGAGATGAGAGAGGAAGCGGTGGAGAGAAATATGGTGGTATTGTGGATGACTGAGGATTTGATAGGGAGAGGGATTAGAATGCGTGTGCATGTGTGTGGTGTGCTTGCAAGGGTGGTGTGTGTGAATGTATGCAGTGCACCTGCACGGGTGATGGACGTGGTGGCGATGGAGAGGTAGAGGGGGAAGCAGATTTTGGTCTTTGTGTGGATGGTCCAGCAAATGACAAACAATGCTTCTCAGGTGAATAAATAACATATGCATAAAATTAGGAAAGATGGTAACTGCAATTTAAATGACTTATGTAACATACCTCAGTGGCAAGGCAAAATTCAGGACAACGACTTTCTCCACATCGACCACTGCAAGGCATGTAACCGGCGCAGCAAACATACCTAGACAAACAACATAAAACACATTTATACCAGAATGTCAGACCATGTAAGAGTATGATGAAAGGAGCGATCATCTATTAACTTGGCGTATCACTAATAATTAAACATTACCTCGACATATCATTATAAAGAGCTCGTTTCCGAAGCAAATATGATACACATGGTCCACTGTGACATTAAAAAATATTTTACTATTTAGTTGGACTGAAGTGTTGGTAGAAAATGGTAATCAATAATTAGATAGTTGAAGAATAAAACTATCAAAAACGTTAACCAATACTGGAATGCATCTGTAAATTTGTTTCACATATGCTTACACATTTATATGTCACTGATGTTTATAAGCATCAATTGCCTAACAACATCCCAAACATGAATAGATTTCTTAGGAGGCATATATGAGTTGCTTATGGCTGTCAAGCAATAGAAAATGCAGATAATGCCATAGTTTTAAAAAACAAGTTTAGGAGATGCCATTCACGGATTTTCTGCATTTTGATTAGAACAATGAACACAATCAACAGTATTGTACGCTTACATTGATGCCCTAAACTGGTCCTTACAGGTGACAAGCTGATGCAGTAGAATTCACTCAACAAAACCGCCAGTGCTAAAAATTTTACAGAAACAATTTCCCCATATGATTCTTGCTAAAATGTCTTAACATACACTATTTCAAGTGCAATCGATCTTCCTTGATCAGCAGATCTAACAAAACATAAAGAAAAACTAACTATACAAGAAATATAGTCAACAAAATTCAAAATGTAGAACTACATATTAACTGGATTTTATTAGATAAAAGTCAACTTTGATAATTGAAACATGTAAATTAATGATATCATCAGCTAATTCATTCATCGGTCAATTTCATCATGCAACACTAGTGATAAAAATATTAACGGATCAACCATAACTGAAGCAAGAGTATCAAATTACTATAAGTTAACCATTCTAACAGCAAGTCCACAAACTCAATTTCCCCAGCAGAACAATCTCAAACAAAACAAAGAAGCCCAGTAAAGTACATTACAGAGTGAAAGAGATCAGATCTACAACAGTCTCTAACAGATCAAACAATTCTTACCACAAAAATGCAAAACAGCAATCTGTGAAAACACACAACCAAACAAATTAAACCAATCAGAAATGCATATAGTTAAGTAGGAAGGTATATATACACAACATCAGAGAGATAGAGAGAGAGAGAGAGTACAAGGGAAGTCGGCCTTCATAGTGCTCATGAGATCGGTGTGCCAGAGGTTCCGATAGTTCTGGCGGAGCTGCATCTTGTCCAGGTGCATTTGCGAAGCCATTGTACGTGCGATGTCTCTGCTCAATACCTCAAAAATGCAAGAGAAATCCTAACAATCAATACAAGACCCTAGCTTTCCGATAAAGACGAAGAGGAAGACGAAGCCTCTCTCTTTGTCGACAAAGTCAAGAGTCTTATACTTTACGACATTACAGTCAATCAAAATGAGGGCTTTTCCGCATTCCTTTGGGGAAGTCAACCAGCAGGGCCACATTCTTGTTGGCAAATAAAGAATATCAAGATAATATTGGGGGGAATATGTAAATAGTGTAAAGAGTATGGGTTTAAATTGCAAAATTTCCTTCTTTTTATACCATTAGAGCAGGAGTCTCCCGCTTCTGTGTTGTGTCGGCTTTGAGGAGAGGCCCAATTCTGATTTGCCTCTTCTTCGGGGAGAGAGTGCTTGTTGAGTGCGTTTGTTTGTCTCTGAGAGAGAGAGACGAATTTCTTGTCATCTTCCTCAGTTTAAGTATTTTGATTAAACAAAACGAGACTCATTTGTCCTCACTTGGTGTTTTTGTCTCTTTCGTCAGCAACTTGTATCCAAATTGTTAGCTTATACATTTGTAAAAACACACAAGCAAAAAAATAAAGGAAGCAGAGCTTTCTTCTACTTGTTTTGCTTCTTAGTTTCATTTCTCAGTGATTGTTTCAATGTCTTCTGATCTCTTTCTGCTTGAAAACTCTTTCTTCTCTGATCCATTCCCTCCTTTCATCGACTCCCCCATTGATCATGACATCTTCCCAGCAATTTCGGACATCTATGACAACTCGACCCAGCAAAACCCAGTTGAAGAAACCAATTCTCTTTACCAAATTGCCTCTACCCTCCTTTCTTCTTCACCACCAAGTCACCAACTTGAAAATCTCTCTCTCTGCCAAACAACCCATTTGGCAAATACTACTTCAGGTTTGGCAAATGGGTATTCAGATTTCTCTGGTTTGGAGATCAAAACAGAGGAATGTCAAGTTCCTATTGAGTCTCTCTATGGTTATGGTAACTCTTTTTTGCCTCATAGTTATGATGGTAGTGATGAAAGTGCGATGAAGTTGATGCAGAGGAGCTATAGTAGCAACTCTTTCGATGGTAAACCCAGTTTCTTGTTCCAACCTCGCTTTGATAGTCTCTTGGAGTCTCCAAATTTTCAGACCCAAGTCTTCAGTTCACCTGAAAATAGCTTCACTACTGGTCAAATGAGAAGGGTTTGCAGCACTGGAGATTTACAAGTTAGTTTATTATCTAAATTTAGCTTCCTTCTCTCTCTCTCTCTGTGTTTTATGATTTGATCATATTTGATTGAAACTATGTATTGTTTTTCTTCTACAGAAGATCAAAACAGCACAGACAAGCCACATGTTGTCTTCAAGCCCATTAGCTACAGAGAGGTCATTCATGGAGGAAGCAAACTTCAAAGTGGGACGCTACAGTGCAGAAGAGAGGAAGGAGAAGATTCATAGGTACAGAGCAAAGCGTAATCAGAGAAACTTTAACAAGACAATTAAGGTAACATTCTCAATTACCCCAATTAATTTACATCTTCCAACTCTTTTTATTTTTGAAGAATTAAACTATATAAACGATTCAGCTGAATGTGGTTGGTACTTTGTTTTTGTGTTGATTCAAGTATGTATGCCGGAAGACACTAGCCGACAATCGGCCTAGGATACGTGGCAGATTTGCACGCAACGATGAAGCTGCAGAGATTCCAAAAGTTGCAAACTTTGATCGATATCAAGACGAAGATGATCCTTGGGTAATCTCTTCTTTTCAGTCAAACCAATTATCATATAGATTACTGAGAGTATTTAATATGAAACTCGTCGTGTAATATTCGAGATTGTGTTGTAGTCGAGTCAAATTAAAATTAGATGATGGTGTCAAAATCAAATTATTTATCTTTAAAACTAACTCGGCCCGAATGATCTGCTTGTAATAGTAACAAATGATTTGAATTTGTTTTGCTAGATTGATGGGTTTAATGAAGATGAAGAAGGAATGGTGAGTGGAGGACCGTTGTACAACAGCTTTGTACCGACTCAGTTTCAGTACTATGGCTAGTCGTAATTGAAGGAAGCTGTTCTAAAGGAGGTTAAGTTCAAGCTGATCTGAGCAAAATAATTCAGATGGCTTCTTTGAATAAATTAGCTTAAAAGGTTAATTTTAACTATATATTCCGTTACTAGTTGTAGGCCAGCAGCAGTTGTTTTCATAACTTCCTCCACCACAAATGTAGTTATGTTGCCGTGTGCAATTCGTTCTTGGTTTTTCTATTTTGTCAATTTCTCTCTCTCTCGCTCTCTCACTACAAATCTATATATGGCATTGAATAGTGAAGAATCAAGCATGAACAAACAATTAGCTAATGAATTGTTTGCAAATAATCTAAGCAAAGATTTGGTGGTTCAACGGTCAAGTTGTCGGGATCAACTTACGTACAATTTGACTAATTTTTTCTTCAATCATATCAGCACTAATGTACCAGATCCCACAAATTTCCTCAATATGCCCAAGAGTGGGTTAAATTCTTTCATGAGAGCTCCAATAATGGATCTGTTTTTGTGAACTTCCTCTATTATTTTCTAAAAAAATTTGTCAAGAAGTACTCCAATGCCATCCCAATTTAAGGGATTTTTTTTGTAAAACATAAATTAGTTGACAATAATCTAAATCACAATCCAAAAAACAAGGTTTTCGGTTCTCACTATTGTGGAGTATGAAAAGCATAACACAATTTGATCGTCACATATGAAAACGTTGTACCACTAGGCACCCGCTTTCTAGGCAAAGTAATATATTTTATTAACTCTAATAGTGGTTCAAGTGATAACAAAAATGAGTTATAAATTCATACGTCATGAGTTCGAATCTTGACAATTTTTTTGGGTCAAGTCATGAGAAATTTATCCCTCATGAAAAATACCCTAATTCTGATTTGGATGACTTATATTTGACTGGACCGGAGAGGGGATTTATGAATAAACTAGTCTAAACATCTCTAACCATTGAACAAAAAAAAAATTTTGGTTAAGAAAAACAAGCTTTTTCACTTGTTCTATCATTAAGACGGAACAACTTTAAAGAAGAAATATGTGGTCATTTGCATCTTGAATCTTTTCATCGTCCTCTGTCCCAAAAAGGTTGTAGCTATTCTTTAATGGGTGCTAAGTTGTGTCTAGTTGCGTTTAGATTACAAAACAATGTGCTTTTGTGAAAGCTCGTAGTAGTTGGAGCAAGGCAAGGCCAGATACTCCTCATTGTCTCATTCATCTAGCATCTGTTTTGGTTGCTTAACAAGCTGCTCATAAGGGTTATTGGGACTGGGGAGTGTCAATTGTTGGCACTCTTACCCTACATATGAAAGAAACTATTTTCATTAGTCGAATCCGCACCATTAAGTCACAATAAAACAGTTTCACCATTGCATCGGTCATATGTGCCTCCCTCCCCCTTAATTGGCTGCCAAATGTCTCCACTTATTTATTGTGTTGTTCTTTGATTGTACGGTAAATAATACTTTACAAGATTCTAATGAATTCACGAAATGTATTTAGAAAAAGTAAGAACACTTGGCCAAAGATTTTAGGAAAGGCCATTTAGAATCTCAAGCACGATGAAAAATTTTAATATAGACAAATAATGGCCATGTTAGTGGAAAGAAAATTATAAAAAAAAAAAAAAATTGTTGATATGAGTACTTTGTTGGTTGGTGGGGGTTGAAAAATGAAAACTCTTTTACCGAAATCAACACAAGTATTCTACTTGAAAATGAAGTACGTATTACTAAGATTTCTAAATCTTTTTTTCTAGAAAGGCAACTCGAAACGCGAGACTCACAATAGTGTGTATTTTTCTCCTTTTCTATAGAAATTATTTTTATGGCTCGAACTTGTCAAGGTCCGGAATTACGGAGCTTGAGTATAATTGGCAAAGTTACACCTGTTAATTTCATTGTTAGTGCAGCAATAATCAATTATGGCGTTTACATCGAGTACAGCAATACATATTATGCTGCACTGAGGTGGCGCTATAATTAGGTTCTACACTGATCAAGTGTATGAGGGATTCCCTTGGTTGAACCATTTCAACCACTTAATTGGACAGCCTTTCCACCCAAATTAGGAAAATAAATTGACAATTCTTTCAGTAAATGGTGTAGAATATGGGACCTTTCATTTTATAATCAAAGATCAGTCAAGGGATTCCAAGCCTAGGACCTAGGAGATATATAGTTTATATATAATTATGTTTCAACCCTTTTTGGTGTGGTCAAATCCATGGTCTTATAATGATGACTTATCACAAATAGGCATGAATGGAGACTATTTGGGTGGGACTAAGTATACAGGAGCCATGGGCAATGTAATAGTTCTAATTTGTGATGAAAATTGCAGGAGATGATTTACACTAAGAGCATTTTAAAATGCGTTGTGCAATAAAGGTTCAAAATTCACATTTATATAACATGTCAAAAACACGTCGCCAAATAATGTGAGATTGATTGAACACAACAAAAATGAAAAAAGAAGAACCAGATTAAGAAGTTCGAAATAGAAAATAATCTTTGGGACTTAAACTTGTTGAGTCTAAACAAGTGAGCTAGGCATTGAGTGTTGGTGGGTAACCTTTCCCACGGCATGAGTAAAAGCTCAAAAAACTCTCGTTTGAAATGTTATTTGAGAGAGAGAAGTAGTAGATAGTCTTCCAGTTTCGAAATGTCGATTTTCAAACTCAAACACATGTATGTCACTTCCGAATGAGACACTATTCTAGATCAAACAATGAGAGTATTGCAATTGTTTTGCTTTCCAACTTTCAAAAGCAAGAAATCACCACTAAAAAAAATATATCAAAAACAAAAGCACAATCCCAAGATGCTTACCAATCAATGTCTGGACTATTATCATGTTATGCTTTTTTGATCACAAAATCAAGTAATGGGCTAAGTATGAGTTGATTTAGACTCAGACGTTCAAGCAATACACCTAAGGAACAAGCTCCAAATGTAGAAACAACACAACTTGTTAGCATTGGCCTCTGACCCATACATTGTTCAAATGAAAACCAAAAATCCCACCACTTCAAACTGAAAATAGAAATTACAAACATCTTAAAGATTTGGAACCAAAGTACCCCAACAGTAGAAATGGTACCACTTCACATTTTCTTTTAGTAATTAACAGTAAGAA